TCTGCTTTTTTTCCTCGGCTTTAGCGGGACCTGATCGATGGCTGGAAGCTTTGGTCAGCTTCCTCGTGGCAGCTGGTTTTTGAGGCTTCCGTTGACTTGAAGCACCACTCTCCATGTTCAAGTCATGGAGCTGTACAGCCGACCGTCCTTTGTCCCTCGGTTCCCGTTCCGACTCCCGGGCTGCACCACCAAGCGAGGCAAACAAAGGAGGCAGCTCATCCTCCGACTCATCCTGGAGCAGGAGCCTTCTCCGACGGGTCTCTTCCACAGCCTGGTTGACCCCTTCATCATCGGAACAAAGAGGCGAAGCCAGCTCCCCCCCATGGACAGCACCTTTGCCAGGACGTCGCCCGAACCCACCCGGCCGATCCGCCGCCGCCTGATCCTCCACAGTCGGCTTGCGCAATCCCTTGGTGTCCGTGCCAGCTCGTTGTTTCTGCCCAGCCCCTTGCTTCTCCTTTCCCTTATTCCGAGCATTCATACTTGGCTTCCGACCCATTTTGGGAGACCGCGGGATCGAGAATCCCTTACTTAGCTTTTTCGGCTTGAATTGTTTCTCCTTCCCCCGTGGATCAGGGCCTTTCTGTTGCTCAGCCATTTTCCCATTCAATTTAACAGGCTGATCCTCACCATCCACTTCCATCGTGTCAAGTCTTGGGCCTTCTACATCCATCGATTGCGATGAGTGCCGCTGGCCATTGATAGCTTTATTCACCCAAACAGATTTAGATTGTCCATGGAAGGGGATTGTGATGTCACCCGCATCATAAAATCTTGTTCCCAGCATTTTTGTCATCATATGCGGGCCAAAACGTTCCCTGCGCAGTGGAGGGTCGAACGTACATTCTCGTTGGAAATGCCCCACTCGGCCGCAATGGAAACAAAAGGATGGGAGGTGTTCATATTTTAGCCGCACCCAGAAGCCCCCCGTCTCATTGCTAGATGCCATTACTTGTGATCGCAGAGGCCGAGAGAAATCAATCAAAGCTTTCACCTTGATGAAATACCGCCCGGTGTCATTGCAAGTGTAGACCCCAGATTCCAGCACTTGTCCGATCATTGGACCAGCCACCTTCATGCCAAATTTCGCTGTGCAGCAATCATCTTTTATGTCCCAGAGTTGTACTCGGAAAGGGGCCACCGCCAGCTCCTCGTACGTCATTCTGGTTATCTCCGGTGTCCACGATCGAAGGTGAATGATTTTATCATTAACCACCCATGGGGTCCTTTTCAGAACCCAAACTTTGGATTCTTCTGAGGGGAGGACGAATTCAAAGAGGCCATGTTTGGCTTGAAGCACTTTAATCCTCCCCTTGCATTGCCATGGTGAATTCACCGACTCACGAACTTCAGCAGCCGATACTCTCGCCGTGGTGAATATCCGACCAAGCAACGTATGGGATCGACGCGCATGAACAGATTGAACTTCTTCCAGGTTGAATTGCACCACTTGGTCCTCACTCACATGCATCGCCATTGTAAGCTGCATAGGGGAGGAGGATACATCATTATTAATCGGCATGAGAGGCTGCCAATGAGATTGTAGCAAATCCCACGATTTGGCAGCAGAAGCAGGTTTATATCCCTCTTCCAATATGAAACAATTATTAGTAATAGGGGGAAGCACCATACCTGGGGTAAGCAGGGATCCTGAGTTGGGAGTAATTCCACCAGAGCTCTCGACACACACTATTCCTAGCTGCTGCTCACTATTTTGCCAAGGTACAGAGACTACCCTCTGGCTCGGGGTTAAATAGCAGCTGTATAGCGAGAGTTCTTTACCAACTAGGCCACTTACACCCAGGACGGTTATCTTGCTTCTGATCTTAGGAGAAAAATGAGGGCGATTCCCCAGCCCTTCCTTATCTCCATCCAACCGAATCAACGGAAAGGTTTTTTTAAAAATTCCATCACCAAAACTGTTGCGTCTGCTGATTCTACGGGGGATAATCCCTTTTGCCGCACGCGCAAAATCAGCTACACGAATCCAGGAGAATCCCAACCTATTCTGCCACCAGCTTGCGTGACCTGCCCGGACCTGGCAACGCCAGCGTGATCGTTCCGGCCAGCCAGAGCCGACTACTTGGTCCCGACGGTAACACACTCTGCCGGGTCCGGCAATGCTTCGACTTTGCGTCTGGAAGCCTTTTGCCTGATATGATATGCATTCGGAGGTCTGGATCTCCGAAAGGCTCGATATAGCTGTTTCCCTGGAAATATCACAGCATGAATCGGACGAGGGAACATTTTCTTCGACCATGTCATCCAACTCTTCCGACGACGGGAGTTTAAATCTCCACATCACTTTACGAGGAGCACTTGGGCTCTTCTTCCTAATAGAGGGGTTTATATCCCACTCCACCAACCACCATTTGCTTTTTAGCTTCCACTTCCTACACCGGGCCCAGAGGTTATCTCGACGGCTGTCATTCCAAAATCTTATTTCCGGCGGGCATCGGTCGGGATGAGAATCCAGCGATGATTTCTGACCTGGTAGCGATCCCGTTTCACACCACTGGGATTGATTGTGTAAGCTCGCACGTAAGACTTCCTGTACAGCCATCGTGAGAAATCGGCCGAGAAGCCGGCAGGCGCAGAGGAGAGAGGCGAGAGCTTCTCTCCACATTTTTTTTGGATTAGAGTAGAACTCGTCTATTGTGTTGATTTTGGGATTTGATATAGGCATTTGGTGTTGTTTGTTTAATTGGTGGGATATATAATTGGATGATAATTGGGCAATTGGTTTTGGAAATGAAATTGGAGGGAGCAGGGAGAGCTTGTCGGCAGGTAGAGAGAAGAACAAGGGAAGAAAGTTTTCTTTCTTACCTTACAACAATATATCCACGTCTAGTCTTTACATAAGTCTTTAATCAACAAAATATCTAGACTAATTATGCACCGCCCTTGAATTGTGCATATTATAAAATCACAAACTTTAAATTCATATCTCCTCTTGTCTTCTCTATATCTTCTTATAGCATCTTCATATCAGCACTACAAGCAAGCAACGTGTGAGGAAGTTGTCATCTCACGTGTTCGGTATACCGGATACCGTCGGTATACCCAACACGTACAAATCAAACCATGTACAAATAAAAAGAATAAAAAATGACCAGACTTCGCATGCAATGAGAATGCATCATCACCATCTAAACTTCACAAGGTGTAGAGAGAGCATACAAGCTCTACATATTCCATCTTTGAACATTTCTCTACATATTAAAAAGTATTGCAATTCGAAAGGTATATTTTCAGCGAATTTAGAACTCACAATTCAATGAACAGCAGTTTTGAAAGAAAACGATCTATCCGGTATCCGATATACCGGTTAAAATACCGGTAATCGACTATCCGGTATCCGGTATATCGTATAACTTTCGGTATCGATATTCGGTGACAGAATTTCAATTGCCGGTATCTTGAATACCGACTATTCGGTATCTGGTATACCGGATACCGACCGATTACTAACTTATAGTATGTGATTCTAATAGTTTGGGGTGATTGTCTAAGAACCCTATTCTATTTATGACTATTTAATGTTTGATAATTGTTGATCTTTTATCTTAATCAAGTGATTGATTGGCATGTTCTTGACCTGCGAGAGTACCCCCCAACTAATTAGGTCAAGTTTAGAACCCACATCAAGTAATATGGGAACCATTGAGTTCTAGTCTCATTTGCATTTGGGGTAAAACCCATTTTGAAGAACTGCGGCATTGTGCTCTAGATAATTGATTGGTTGCATGTCCATTGAGTTCACTCGGAAGTGAAAATGAGTGCATGTCGATTTAACTTAATTGCTGTCCTGGAGATTCTTCGTATCATAACAGAAAAGGGAGATTACATAACATAAGAGATCATATGCTAGGGCTAGGGAAATTTTGATCTCAAGTATCTTCTCGCCTTTGAAGTAAGTTTACTTATTAGTTTAGTTTACTTTTGTTAGCTTAGTATTAGAATCAATGGTTGTATGTACAATATGTCCATCTACTACGTATTTTTATTAAACATGTCCCTCCACTATTCTTTTTTTAGGGTAAATACAATATATTAGCTAGAACTATTGAGCACGGGAAATAATAGTCACGAAATACAAAAAAAAAAAAAAAAAAGCTAAAACTATTGTAGCTTATCAAAATATGACTAACTGTCTGTTACCGTTATTAACTTTGTAACGGAGAAGACCACGTCATCAGCCACATCACATTCTACCTCAGATTAATTTTTATTTATAATTTTCAAAAATTTATTAGATGCGATCTTCATCACCACTATACTACTAAATCAATCTATGATATATTTGTCTCAGATTAAAGTAGTGTGTAGCGAACAAACCATCTCATAACCCCCATCAGCTAAGTCGGTCGAAACAAACGACATACAAAGCGATAGAGCCGCGAGCCATGGCATCACATAGAAGTAGAGGTGGAAATTCTCAATCCAATCCAACAATCCATTAAAAATATCCACCTAATCCAATCCATTTAAATCCAATCCATTTAATCCAAATCCAATTGGATTGGTGGACTCATTGATCAATCCAAGGATCCAAATGACAAATTACGGTTTGGTACCTAAACTTTTTATATTTTACATTTTGGTATCTAAAATTTAATTTTTTATATGAAAAATCTCATTGGAAAATTACATTTTGGTACCTAAATTTTTTCATTACGACATTTTAGTACCTAAACTTTTCACATTTTACATATTGGTCCAAGGTTGAGGATGTCATTTAGATTCATGGATAATCCACCAATCCACTTGATCCAATCCATGAATCCACCAATCCATTGGATCCCATCCATTTGATCCATGAATCCACCAATCCAATCCACGAATCCATGGATCGATCCATTTGCCACCTCTACATAGAAGTGATCATTAAACAGGTACGATGGGTTGCTGAGCTTCTGCGAATCAAAGATTCTGCCTTGGAGTCTATTCTACCATCATTTGATCCACATAAAATTCAATATCAAGTACATGGTCTGAATGCTACTACTAAAATATGCTTAGAACAATTTCAGACGATTCAAATGATTCAAGCACCACTCTTTAATTATTTGAACAACACTATAGGAGTAAATAAGAACACATCTAGGAGCTGAAGCAACCTTTCTGCAAATTTCTTACATATGGTACAGTCAGGAATTTTGGTACAGTAGTAAAGGTACATACTTCCAGCCAAGACTCAGCAGACGAAGTCAATGGTGAGCCAGTAACGACAGTTTATACAATCTAGTCTAAAGTTATTTGTTTCGAGGTTCTTAAACACCATGAAGAAATACATAATATACACCTCGCCGCCGACGTGGCACGTCTGGATTGCATCCACCTCAAAGATCATGAAATCATATTGCAGATACATCATCCTGAAATCGGTAGAAGGCTTCCACGCTCCTTCGACTGTAACTTGCAAACGAGGTAGCAGTCATCTAGACAATATAACCTGAAAGAGATATAGTAAGCATCTGCTAACTTTTGAGGTTTCTATCTCAAGCACATTGCATTCCCCAGAGCAAATCATGCAGAGACATTGAAATCAGTTCTTTCATCGTACTCGGTTGTATAATGGATTATAATCGATAATTATTTAGTAGTAAGCATGCAGATGATTAGAAAACATGTTGAGAGTTGAGACCAAAAAACTAACAGAAGACCTATTCAGTGCATTGTCCATTCAGGCTGTATGAGTGAACTGTGCTGCGAAAATATGTTCAATTACCTTGGATCATACAGATTCTTCCTGCTCCAAGGAAGCACATCCCAGTATACAGCCACGTGCAAACCCACACATCGGCCGAGTTTCTTTCCACTTCAGTGGCCTGACCTTGGGATCACAAACCCTAACCAGAGCCAATCGCACGATGTCAAACCTCCCAGCTCCTGCTTCTTCCCACTTGAGAACCTTTCCCCCCAACACATATAGTTCACCTCTCAAGGAAGCAAACCCGTAGGCAAAGGCTTCTAATGCACGTGCATGGTTATTTAGGATGACAGCAGGGACAGAACCGACATTGTACCACTCTCCATCTTCGGAGTCCCTCGTCTTAATGAGGCTCTCACCCCAATCGACAACTGTGTACACTTGCCCATCGCCCATAACCTGAACTGCAAATTGCATTGCCCGGGAGAAAGGCCAGACGTCCTCCACCGTTGCCCATGTTGTGTTTGAAGGATCAAAAACTTGAGATGTATTCACATCTGACAGGCCTACCTGGTCACTTAAAACATGGAACTTTCCTCGATATGACAAGCCTAAACAATCCACTTGTGGTATGTGCATAGCAGGCAATTCCTCCCATCTGCAGTATTCAAAAAGCCATGTCATGGACTCATGGTTAAGAAACTTCATGGGCATGCTTCCTGGAAGGTGCAAACAACAAGGAAGCAACACCATAGAAACAATCTAATGAAATGAGAACTAAAGTAGTATCTTTGTGGGGAGCAATACACAAAATGTAAGGGAAAAGAACAAAACTGCACGAGAAGGGAGGCAAGTTACGAATCACTCGGTAAAGCATAAATCTTATGCAAATTCAAGGATCATAAAGTAGCACAAGATGTGGTATTTGTCAGTTATTGAAATTACATAAAAGATGGTGGGAATGTTTCTCCAAAGCCCCAGTTAACTGGTTGGAGACGAAATTATAATTCTCTTAAGAGTTTCAATATATACAAACAACAGAACACATTCATCAATGTTACAGTTCACTGTAGCAACAAGCATCAAAGAACACCCACAAGCTCGACTAAAAGAGAAAAAGAAATTCTTAAATAGTCTCTCCAACGGCAAAAATTATGTTGCTAACAAATAATGAGAGTGATATTAATCATATAATCCAACAGTCTTTGTCTCAATTATTTCAAAAGGACTAACAAGCAAGAAGGGTTGAACCTGCGATCTTAGTGTAGAAGGTCAACAATGTAGTGTATTATAAGTTGCTTCGCAGCTGCTCATGACTAAGAGTTATAAGGTGGTATTTTCAATTGAAGCAAAACATATAAGCTGCTCAAAAGTTTGGATTTCAGATTGGAAACACAAACTGAAAGTTAGAATTAAATTGGAGCACGCAAAGCAAATAACAATTGATCACTATACTAGGTTTTGTGACTCTCTTAAGCTAATAAAAAGAACTATCATAACAAGTTGAAGAATATCGAACAAATGTTATAGGTTGTCCAAAATTAACATACTTATCGGTTAGAGGATCATAAACCTCAGCAAGCGAAAGCCCTCTGGTGCAGCATAAGTTGCGACCCCCTGCTACATAAACCTTCCCAGAAACAACACTGCAAGCGAACTGTGAGCGTGGGGTCCGCATTCTTGCAACACTAGTCCACTGTTTCTTATATGGATCGAACTGAAGCACCTGATTAGTTACCGAAGGCTTTTGGCAACTTGACAAATCCTGTTGTGCATGAGTTCCCCCAATCACTAAGAGCCGGTTCTGAACACAAACACAAGAAAATCCAAAGTGCTGCCAATCTGCATACTCTCCTGAAATCTTAGGCAGAGGATGCCATCTGTCTGCATCAGGATCATAGGCAACCCACTGCCTTTGGGACTGCTCGGTGAGAACGAACAACCAATCACCACACCATCCTTCTTTAGCTTTATAGTGTGCATAGTCTGAGCTGCTAATCAAATGTTTCCATCTTTGTGAGACGCTTTCAAGAACCCCATGATATCCGTGAGACAACTTCGCCAGACAACGCATAGCCAAGTCATCTGGCAATCCCGGGATGACAGGTTGATGTTCGTCTTTCCTATCATCGACAAAAGGAGAATTGTCAAAAATCTTACATTTTCGCACTCTTTCGGTTAATGTGAAACAACCCAAAGGGTGTTGAGATAATGTAATGTGCAAATAAAAACATCAACCACACCCTGAACTTGGGGCTAACATTACTTAAAACATCGAGAACCATTGACAGCAGAATTCATTTGTGAACTAAGCTGGCCAACTTGAAGCACCCTCAAGGGGAATTGATGGAGTATTGATGGCGTACTTCAAGGTGAATCCCCTTTTATCCAATTAGGAGCTATCAACATGCTCATCCATTTAATTGGGGAAAGGTGTTCTCTTCAGAAAATAAAACAAAGTTCGCATCCATTTCCTCGCTAGTCAATTCCAATACAATTCCTACCGTGATATGTACTAATCAGTTTCTGTCACAAATATTGGCTTGGGCATGCCTGAGGCAAGTTAAATGACAACCATCGCAGCCTCACAGATGAACTGATTGAGGAAATGAAAGAAAGAGAAGGGAAGATAACAAAGAACACTGCGCAGAATTTCATGAAGCGCCCACTGCATTTCTCATGAAATTCTTCAGCGTTTCAATCAAAAGGCAGGAAATTTATCGGTAAAATCTTACGGGCAAAGCTTTGTTCTTTTGCCCAAATTGGCAATAACAATATGTTTCGAATTGAAGAGGAAGGAAAGGAAATAAGAAAATGAAGAACTTACATGGAGAAATCCAGCACCGTAGAAATGGGTCAGTAGTGCAGGGGATAAGAATTAGCTGCAATGGCTACAAAGATTGGCCGCCTCAGCGATTGATCGTTGCCGGAGACCACTGCAGGATAACGAATTATGAAAAGCCAAGAGGGAAAGACGGCGACCTGAATGCGGAAACAAATTGATTGGCCTTAAAACATTTATCCCAAACGGCCAAACCCCAGGAAGGATGCGCAATTGCGCATAGCAACTGCATTTAGGCTCTTAATTTTAATTTCTCTATTTTTAATTTATTAATCGTTGCCCTATTCTTTTTTTTTTTTTTTAGCAATAGATAATGGCATTACCAAATCAAAGATATCAAAGTCTTACAAACACAGTCTACAACCCAAAACGAAACCAACAATCAAAGTCAAAACTCGCAACAACAGCAGGTAACAAAGAAAGGGTCTTCCTGGCTACATCATGAGCCACCCGATTGCCACTCCTGCCAACGAACGAAACACCAAAACCACGATACTGCTGCCGCAACCCTTCAATCTCCTCAAGAATTCGCCCACCCTTCAAGTCCCGAGTATCCCGACGTTGAATCTTCTCAATAACGCTCTTGGCATCTCCATAAAACCACACTTCCTCCAGTCCCTTCCCTGAACACCACTGGATTGCATCCCGTAATGCAACCAACTCCACTAGGAAAGGATCCACGAGACCTGCATAATGAAATCCCTTCACCATACACACCCGCCCCATACCATCACAGACAACCAAGCCCCCCGCTCCATGAGATCCCGGCGCAACCGCCCCATCCACATGACAGGAAAACGGCATCACCACCTGCTGCACCCGACCCTGCCCCCTACCTCCTCCCAACACTCGATGCTGCAGCTGCATCGTCGGAACTTGCCCCGGTTGGATAAACGCCAACCATTCCTTCACCTGGGCCTCGTACTGGCGGACTAAGCACGGAATATCATACTGCAAATGCTCAAAAACCACCCAATTCCGGCTCTTCCAAACTCTCCACAGCAAAGCCACCATGCGCACAATCCTCTCCGCCCCAGCATCTTGCTCAATCGTTGCCCTATTCCGAAATTTATTTGAACACAATGTACCTTTTAACATATATTTTATTTTTTCAAATTATTTGAAGTATTGAATTTCATATGAGAATGAGACTATTGTAACATCAAAAATTATTTTTAAATTATAATAACCTTTCGTCCGAAGATTGTATTCTTTTAATTATTACAACACTTGTGAATAATCATGACATGTCTTGTTAATGATGCAGTCACTTGATTGTTTGTTAAGATTAAAGATCGTTTGGTTGCTGGATTTGGGTGACGGATTTGTAATCCAAAACCCAAGCATGATATATTTTTTACAAATTCTTTGTTTGCTTGAGCTAAATGAAAAAGAACTAAATGTGTGGGGTCCACGGATTTGGATCTAAATTTGGTCTCAAATCTGTAAATCCCATGAATTTGTAAATCTTTAATAAACTGTCGGGTTTGAGGAATGAGTACAAATCTATGTTTAAGACTATTTTATCCTCATAAAATTTATTTTAATATGATTTTACATCTTTGTTGTCTTTTCTTTGCAAGAGGAATTTGATTTAAGATCAACGAAATCACTTTCATTCTTAGCAATATGGCAAGAGAGTAATAGTATTTGACTTCATTATTGGTGGATATAGGCTCGGCCTGATTCCGTGATCTGCATCATACAGAATCGAAAGAAAATGACATTTGGAAAAATTGCCCGAAATATGTGATGGTACCCCATTGAAATCTGTCAAAAATGGGCCCGGAATAAATTCGCCCAAATCGGCACTTAATGGACTTAATCATCGTTGAAGAATAGCCTCAGGCCGAATCCGTGATCTGTAGCCTTCAAAATCCAAAGAAAATGGCATTTCTTCGCCAAAAAAATTACGAAAATGCCATTATAAAATAATTTGCCCCAAATCGGTCCTTAATGGACTTATCATCCGTGGAGAATAGTATTAATAGACTTCATTATCGGTGGATATAGGCTCGGCCCGATTCCGTGATCTGCAGCCTCCAGAATCGAAAGAAAATGGCATTTCGGAAAAATTGCCCGAAATCTGTGATGGTACCCCTTTGGAATCTGCCAAAAATGGGCCTGGAATAAATTCGCCCAAATCGGCACTTAATTGACTTAATCATCGTTGAAGAATAGCCTCAAGACAATCTGTGATCTGTAGCCTTCAAAATTCAAAGAAAATGGTCTTTCGTCGCTAAAAAATTCCGAAAATGCCATCCGAAAATAAATTGGCCCAAATCGGTGCAGAATGGACTTATCATCCGTGGAGAATAGTATCAATAGACTTAATTATCGGTGGATATAGGCTCGGCCTGATTCCGTGATCTGCAGCCTCCTGAATCGAAAGAAAATAGCATTTCGGAAAAATTGCCCGAAATCTGTGATGGTACCCCTTTGGAATCTGCCAAAAATGGGTCCGGAATAAATTCGCACAAATCGGCACTTAATGGACTTAATCATCGTTGAAAAATAGCATCAGGCCGAATTCGTGATCTGTAGCCTTCAAAATCCAAAGAAAATGGCCATTAGTCGCCATAAAAATTACGAAAATGCCATCAGAAAATAAATTGGCCCAAATCGGTGCTTAATGGACTTATCATCCGTGGAGAATAGTATCAATAGACTTAATTATCGGTGGATATAGGCTCGGCCTGATTTCGTGATCTGCAGACTCCTGAATCGAAAGAAAATGGCATTTCGGAAAAATTGCCCGAAATCTGTGATGGTACCCCTTTGGAATCTGCCAAAAATGGGTCCGGAATAAATTCGCCCAAATCGGCACTTAATGGACTTAATCATCGTTGAAGAATAGGCTCAGGCCGAATTCGTGATCTGTAGCCTTCAAAATCCAAAGAAAATGGCCTTTCGTCGCCATAAAATTACGAAAATGCCATCTGAAAATAAATTGGCACAAATCGGTGCTTAATGGACTTATTATCCGTGGAGATTGGTATCAATAGACTTCATTATCGGTGGATATAGGCTCGGCCTGATTTCGTGATCTGCAGCCTCCAGAATAGAAAGAAAATGACATTTCGGAAAAATTGCCCGAAATCTGTGATGGTAACCCTTTGGAATCTGCCAAAAATGGGCCTGGAATAAATTCGCCCAAATCGGCACTTAATGGACTTAATCATCGTTGAAGAATAGCCTCAGGCCGAATCCGTGATCTGTAGCCTTCAAAATCCAAAGAAAATGGTCTTTCGTCGCCAAAAAAATTACGAAAATCTTATCCGAAAATAAATTGGTCCAAATCAGTGCTTAGTGGACTTATCATTTGTGGAGAATAGTATCAATAGACTTCATTATCGGTGGATATAGGCTCGGCCTGATACCGTGATCTGCAGCCTCCAGAATCGAAAGATAATGGCATTTCCGAAAAATTGCCCGAAATCTGTGATGGTACCCCTTTCAGAGTAGTCAAAATCCCGATTTAAATCCTAAAATCCTACGGTTTTACGATTTTACTTACCTATTCCGATTCTGATTTCACTATAAAATCTATGGACCTTAAAATCCTACACTATTCACGATTTAAATCCTTAAAATCTTTAAAATCTTACGATTCTACGATTCAAATCTTAGAGTCAATTTTACATATTTCCCCCAGAATTTGCAAAATTACGGCTCTTTTTCTTCTCCGTCACCAACATCATCTAGTTCTCTCACACTAATCACCATTGATTATAATCAATTCACATCAACGTATTAATCATCATTGATTCACCACCTCTTAACATTAACCTTGATAAATTGGAACATTAACCTTGAAAAATTATCACTGTAAGTGTTATGTGCTTTTGTGTTATTCATGATTTTCCTTACTAATATTATTTCATCTTCATTTTTATATGGACCTTAAAATCCTACGATTTTACGATTCGATTTTACGATTCCGATTTTACTCCCATTTTCGATTTTACGTAAAATCCCGATTTTGACTACTTTGCCCCTTTGGAAACTGCCAAAAATGGGCCCGGAATAAATTTCCTCAAATCTGCATTTAATGGACTTAATCATCATTGAAGAATAGCCTCAGGCCGAATCCGTAATTTGTAGCCTCAAAATCCAATGATAATGGCCTTTCGTCCTAAAAAAATTATGAAAATGTAATCCGAAAATAAATTGAACCAAATCGGTGCTTAATGGACTTATCATCCATGGAAAATAGTATCAATAGACTTCATTATCGGTGGATATAGGCTCGGCCTGATTCCGTGATCTGCAGCCTCCAGAATCGAAAGAAAATAACATTTCGGAAAAATTGCCCGAAATCTGTGATGGTACCCCTTTGGAATCTGCCAAAAATAGGCCTGGAATAAATTCGCTTAAATCGGCACTTAATGGACTTAATCATCGTTGAAGAATAGCCTCAGGCTGAATCCGTGATCTCTAGCCTTCAAAATCCAAAGAAAATGACATTTTGTCGCCAAAAAAATTACGAAAATGCCATCCGAAAATAAATTGGCCCAAATCGGTGCTTAATGGACTTATTATCCGTGGAGAATAGTATCAATAGACTTCATTATCGGTGGATATAAGCTCGGCCTGATTCCGTGATCTGCAGCCTCCAGAATCGAAAGAAAATGGCATTTCGGAAAAATTGCCCGAAATCTATGATGGTACCCCTTTGGAATGTGCCAAAAATGGGCCCTGAATAAATTCGCCCAAATCGGCACTTAATGGACTTAATCATCGTTGAAAAATAGCCTCAGGCCGAATCCGTGATCTGTAGCCTTCAAAATCCAAATAAAATGGCATTTCTTCGCCAAAAAAATAACGAAAATGCCACCCAAAAATAAATTGGCCCAAATCGGTGCTTAATGGACTTATCATCCGTGGAGAATAGTATCAATAGACTTCATTATCGGTGGATATAGGCTCGGCCTGATTCCGTGATCTGCACCCTCCAGAATCGAAAGAAAATGGCATTTCGGAAAAATTGCCCGAAATCTGTGATCTGTAGCCTTCAAAATTCAAGGAAAATGGCCTTTCGTCGCCAAAAAAATTCAGAAAATGCCATCCGAAAACAAATTGGCCCAAATCAGTGCTTAATGGACTTATCATCCGTGGAGAATAGTATCAATAGACTTCATTATCGGTGGATATAGGCTCGGCCTGATTCCGTGATCTGCAGCCTCCAGAATCGAAAGAA